AGAGCGGCGAGTGTGCGTTGTTTTGTCTTCACTTTAATTTATGCTGACGTATAATGTTAACGCTCGATATCTGTTAAATTTATCAAAGAATTCCTCACCGAAAACAACGCATTTCGGTCACAGCGATAGTCAGGCAGCATATGGAACTACTTGCTGACAACCTTGAAGCTACCGTGACATCTTCTAACTGAGAATCTGATAATTTTTAATTTCGACAGATCATGCGACGTGTTAATCAACGACTTCCACCTTGCAATTCTTATGTGACGCAACAAATTGAAATATGAAACCATTTTAATCGTTCAGTGGTAGATATTATTAATCATGTAAACCGATACCTCTCTCGTGCGCAAGCACTCATAATTAGAACAATAAATCATGTACAGTAATAACCACAACGGATCACGTCGCTGATTTTTAATTGCTTCATTTACTAATAACGTGATTACATACGTTGTGTGTGGTACCAGTACAAATAGAATTTAAATATGCCAATTACTTATTAAACATTTAAGAATGATACAGAATAAAATTAATTCTATACACATTGACACTGTATACAGAATTAATGCAGAAGTATACTGTACTATACATAGATTTTTATAATATGCTTGAAAATTCTACTTAATGCAGAGAAACTAAAAATATATTTGAACTCAGTAAGAAGAAAATGCTATTTGGTTTATCTTCATAATGCTTGAAATTGAAATAATCTGTTGGTTCAACGTATGTAATTATTGTTTAATAAAAACAAGTACTTATCCAACGTGAAATTGTAGATAAAGGTAATTAATAATAATATCTTAAAACTATATATATCGGATGTTCTTTATTAACGGCAGGTTCTTTAAAGTCAATTTTTTCTTAGAAAAATATTGAGGTATCAATAATTTCCAAGTTATAATTAAGGGATTAGAAAAGAAGCATATTTTACAAATTAAACTTTGAAAAATCAAATAAATACTATATTTATTAGTTAATTCTTCGTTCAGCTCAGTTAATGTTAGATAAAGTTTGCTTCAAGACAATTTTAATTTGAGACACAGTTACAAATATACATGATGCAAAAGACTTTGGAAAGATGCGACAAATAATGAACTCCTTCGACATTTTCATTCAGGAAAAATTGAGTCCGAAGAATCTGTCAATAAAAGGACATTTGGTTGTTCGAAGATACTCAGTATAACATACATATATATGTAACGAACCGATAGATAAATTTTATTTTATGCGTGTCGTGGTGTGTTATTGCTGTTACGTAATAACGCTGGTAAACACGTAATCGTTTTTGGATTTCTTTGCTTTATCAAACTGTCGATGATTATTTAATTTATGTGATCAATGAAAAAATTGTTCATTTAACTTTGCGACTATAATTCATGGTTATCATAATTAATACAGAAACATGTATTAAAAAGAAAAGCCATCTCAGAGTTATTATAAATAGTTTTGCTGCAACTTGAAAAATGCAAGTGACAAAACAGAATTTATAACTTCAATGACTGATAAGTCAGGAAACGAGTAAATTATTTATTGGCCTTTACCGCAATAAATACATTATCTAATCTTCCTATTGGTTTTGCTAATGACAGCAGTTTAACACAAAATTGCAACATTATGTATTCCTTTAATAATAAGTCATATTCTAAAATTATAGAGACAGAAATATACTTTCTGCGTTGTCTGCTCGTATCATTTGGCAAGGATCTTTTTATTGGCAAGGAACAGCCAGTATTTCTTTTAATACATTTGTCCCGGCTATTCACACATTTTATTGTCTTCGCAAAATCGACTTCTTACAAAATCATATTCTTTCCAATGCTTCTCATTCGATTTACAGACTTATTGTCGTCGCTCATTATCGTCAAGATACCGATTACTTGGATTGGACTGCAGCAGTGTCCCAGAAATATTCGGCAATCTCTTCTTTCCGGTCCATAATAAGAATCACGGGGGAGCAGTGGTGCGATTATATGTGGTACACAAAGATAAACCCGCAAAATGCATGTGTAATTTAGACAGACAGAGGGAGAAAGAGAAGATAGAGAGAGAGAGAGAGAGAGAGAGAGAGAGAGAGAAATAAAGTTTTTCCCGGTGAAGATGAGATTGAGGGTGAAAAAGTGTCGAGACGTATCACGATCGCTCTGATATGCGAATTATTTTTAATATACATGCGTACATTTTTAATGTGAACAGTTGCAGTGGGGCTTGATGCCCGAAAGGGTTATCTCTTTGATTACCGACACGATCCTCTTTCTCTTTCTCTCCGTAACGTGTAACACCCTTTCATTGCGGGGTTATCGGCTCGCCTGCACTTTTGTATTTTACCGGCAATTGGCGAACTTTGCGCCCTATAAAAGCGAGAGGATCTCGCGTACGCTACCAGTCTTACATCAGGGGTCACGTTATGATGAATACCCTTACTGGTAAGTCGAGTTGCGCCTCGACGGAATTCGTCTTTTCTTCTTTTTTTTCTCGCAACTTTGACGACAAGTGCAATGTGCATAATTGTGAGAAATTAACACAGGTGTTTTGTCCAGTTTCACATTTGTTTTATATCGTCATTCGTTCAATATTTCTCAAGTCACGAAGCAAATCTGTTCTTTTTAATCTTACATTTTTAGAAACGCTTCGGATGAAAAAGAAAAAAGATTTTTGCGGATTATGAATTCTGGCGGAAAAGTACTTGACGAAGCCATTTGCATTTTCGTACAGCTTTTTCAGACGTATATTGAAAACTTTACTTTAGTTACTTAATAAATATATTGATTCAAATATGTCTCTTCTCTTCACACAGACATATTTTAAGTATTTTTACTAGATAATACATTATATAAATTATGTTTTCAGTATTGCTGCTGTGCCTAACGGCCGCATGTGCGGTACCAGGTAAGTTTTTACCAATTTTTTCCTATTTTATAAAACACTAGAAAAAACATTTGTTAACAAATCAGTATAAACAAATTGTATTCTTAATATTTAATAACGTTATTAATATTAAGGTCATTTCTTCGGAAAAATTTTATATGAGTCGCAAATATTTTTCTATACGTAACAATGAGAATAGTTCGATGCACACTTTAATTTATTAAATTGTTAAATATAAAATTATTTATTAAATGCAAAATTATTATTTTTTTCACAAATCGCAGATCATAGGTAATATTTATTAATGTAACGCTATACTTCAGAAACGCTTGCTTCAATTAACAAATAAATAGTACAAAGCAGAATAGAGAGAGATTAAGATATAAATGTAAAACCTGATAGACAAGTTAATTTATAATATTTTATATTGGTATATACATATATATTTCATAATATTTCAGTACATTTTCCTGCCGAGAAAACTGTGATTTACAATTACCATGCCGATGTGAAAGCTGGAGTTGTTGAGCCAGCGAATTACGTCTCCCAGTTCGCTCTCGCCGGACAACTTTACGTAAAGAAGGATACTAGTGATCCGACTTTAAATAATGCTTATCACATCAAATTAAACAACGTAAAGCATGGCATGTACAATGGCATCGCCGTACATCATGAGCCGATCGAAATTCTCCACGAACTCGGAGAAGCCGCACAGCAAATCCAAGAACCGTTCGTGATCGTTTACGATGATCGTGGCAAGGTAAATGTCCGACGAATTCCTGACGTGACATTTTGACATAAAAATCGTTCGTGGAAGAGTCATACGACCTATTGAACGATCGATTTCAGCTCCAAGGTATTAAAATGCCGGAAGCCGAGAGCGGCTGGTCCAGGAACATCAAACAAGGTATCGCCTCGATGCTGCAATTGGATCTGGGCCACATCCAGATGCAAGCCCCGATGAAGCCACACGCTTTCGTCACCCATGAGGTAGGTAACGACTGATGGGAACATCCAACAAAAGCGGCTCTGTTTCAAAATGTTCTCTTTGGTTGTTACCACTAGAACACCATCCACGGTACCTGCCAAGTCTCCTACGATGTTCATCCGAAGTACCCGATGAATCCGGAGAACGCTAATGTCTTCGTGGTCACGAAAATGCACGATTTGATGAACTGCAGCCATTTTGTTCAGCGTGTTTTCGATCATTTCGAGTGCGAGAAATGTCACGTGGAGTCTGTGGTAATTTTCTACCATTTTGTTTTCAGAACTTTATTCGTCTATCAAACGTTTATTTGAATTCCGGCTGAGATAGATTATAATTAATCAATTTTTGTTTTGAATTTCAGGATGACATGACTACTTCCGCCAGAAGAGTTTTCGAGATCAAACAACAGGACAATGATATTGTCATCGAGCGGGTGGTTGCTCACTCGGCTATCAATTACTTCCCTTATAATGCCCGATCTGAGGCTCACTATCTGTGGACCAAGTAATTATACGATAACTATTGCACTAATTGCACCGGCGATCATGCTAATTTTATTTGTTATTTCAGCGTTACTTTGGATCTGCATTCCGTAGTATCAACGACGGAAGTCCCTGTGATGGCCATGAATGTTCAGAACGTGCCTGTCATTCGCGACATCACTTTCAATAAGCCATTAGGAAATTACGCTCTCCATGCTGCCGAAGATCTTTCTCATGGTCGACATATTGTGAAATTGGACGCGCTCATCCCTAAACTTAAGAAGATGTTGGCCGAAGCTGTTGAATACCTCGAGGAAAATCATTTGGAGGCCAAGGAACCCGAATGGAAGCACGGGCAAACCATCAACAGGCTACAGCATACTATGAGTTATATGGATTTAGGTTCACTGGAACAAGTTTACAACGCCATACAGGATTCGAAGACGCCTAAGGAAGTCACGATGAAGTGAGTAACATATGATCATCCCTTATTTTGTGTTACAATGAATCAATTAGTATTAGAGGATCAAGAAAATAATTTATTATTTTGAAAAAAAAATTTAATAGCTATAATTTTGTCTGACGCGACGTAATAAAACGATAATTGTGATTTTTAAAGGAATATCTTCCTGCGAATGATTCCAACCGTGGGCACGACCGCTGCCAGCCACTTCGTACGAAATGTTGTCCGCAAGCATCAAGTGACCGATGAAACTGCCGTCGTGATGTTGATGAAATTGCCGATGCATGTCAAAGTACCATCCGAGAGATTGCTTCTGGAAATGGAAGATCTGTTGAAATTGGGTAGCACCGTGTCACCGCAAGTCAAGAAGGCCAGCATCCTCTGCTTCTCCATTTTGATTCGTAAGACGTTCATACATCAGCACAGCGACGTCGTCAACCCCCTTCTCGAGAGATATCTTCACCGTTTCCTCGATCATGTCAAGAGTAAGCATTGTATTTAAATGTATTTAGACATTAGAAGCACGCAGCAAAAATGGATCTTATACGTTGTTAAGTACAAATATATATTTAAAGTTTAATTTACTCTGAAATTTTCATTTAATTTTATCATTTTTAACAATGCACACGCAAATGTTTCAGACGAGCAATCGTACGAGATGAGAGTGGTGTATCTGATGGCGATAAAGAACGTACAAGTGGGTAACATTGAAAAGCTCTTGGAGCCGATCATCCGTGGTGAAGTTATGATATCCGAGAATCCACTACATATTCGCGTTCAAGCAATCTGGGCCATCAAGAAGGCAGTCGCCGATAAAGTCGAGTACACTCACAATCTACTCTGGCCTATTCTCGCTGATGTCACTCTACCGCTGTCCGTCAGGATTGTCGCTTATGATGTCTTGATGAGCCAGATGCCGAACATGCAACGTATCATGAACATATACTGGTTCATGGTACACGAGCAGAACAACCATCTGTACAACTATCATGTTACTACCCTGAAAGGTCTCGCCAATTCCGTGGATCCTTGCCTCTTGCCAGTGCGCGAAATGGCCAGAAAGTTCTTACGTTTCACAAGAATCAGACCGGTCACCACTCAGCTCTCGTATAAACATTTCATTGATTATATCGATTCTGTTTACGAATATGGCGAATCCTGGAATGACGCCTGGGTTCTCGATGAATCGACCGGTATGCCAGTCGCCGGATACTTCGAACATCACACCTCGGTCGCTCGTAAATCCGTCGACAAAATAGGCGTGAGTAATATGTCAACTGAGCGTAAACTTTACTATACACAAAATTTTGACACGTCTCATAAAAGTTTCTAAAAGTAAAAGAAACATTTGTATTTTTATCGATATTTTACATTCATGCGTTCTATATAAATTTTCTTCAGATCTATTGGAGCGTCTACGGTTTGGACGAGGTCATAAAGATGGTCAAGAAGGAATTAGTCGGTACCACAATGGAAAATCTCAACAATAAGAATGTGCAAAATCTTTTGATTCGCGCCGCGCAGGATATGCCGATGAAGAGACCCATTCACGTCGACATCTGCATCACGCTGAACGGTGTTGTCGTCGTTGCCACTCACTTTGACCAGAATAGTTTCAAGAACATATTCGACGAAGTATACCAGCTGAAGCAAATAGTGGTTGGCAATTTCCAGGATATTGTATATGAAACCTTTTATGAGATGCAAGTGCCTACCGACATGGGTCTACAGGCAGTTCTCAGTACCAAGATACCGCAGCTGTGGTCGCTGAAGTTCGACAACATTCGCAACGAGGTCATGAAGCCGTCCGTGAGCATGAAGCTCAACGTCGATGCTCGGGTTTGGAAGCATGGTGAATACGTCATGTCGATCTACAATCCGATCGTTGATGTTTGGCATTCGATTCGCCGCGCCACCGTCCTGGACGTCGCCTTGCCCGTAGATATGAGCGTCGGTTACAATCACGAGGCGAAGAGTCTGAAGATCACCATGCCGAGATTGCCGGTCAACAAACTGTCGGTCACCGGAATGCGATTCTACGCGAAGAACTTGGTGACCGTCACCGAGGACGAACAGGACGTTCTCAAGACCTGCTGCGCTACCTGCCATCATCACGCGGTCGTCAGCACCGGCGAGAAGAAGAACCATCATGTCGCCGTAGACTCTAAAGACGTGGGCCTCAAATATAGCATGTCGGTCTTCGATTGCGAGAACGAAATCACCCCGGTGACTAACGCCGAGGAATGGCAGCGTGTGCTCTCTGTGGAACACAAGAACACTTGGTAATTAATAGACCAGAAATGCAATAATCTGCTTAGATATTTATTGTTGCTGTGTGGTACAGTCTTTTTTCTATATCACAAAAAAGAACAAAATTTGTAGTTAAACTTTTTCTTATATATTGTCAATGCAACTTTTCGAAAAAAATTATTATGTTGCGATTTGTTCATTAGGAACTCGAAGCTCCTCCAATACTTCATGGGCGTCCACCAAAAACTGATTAACGACTACATTTCACCGCAAATGGGTAACTGTGGAATTCTCATGAAGGCTGAACCCAGCATTGTTTATCCTACGTCACATGTAAGCAGTCAAAAATCTCGATCTGAAAGACAGAATTGATATTGGCATTCTTATCCCCTTAAATTCTTTTCCAGGTTGATTTGAACGTAAGAGTTAATATGGAGGATGTCGATCACATTCATGAAAAGATGCACGCTTTTAGCAGCAACAAAATCAACATACGCGGTACCCTCGATGCAAAAGCAGCTTCCACAAACGAGTCCGTACGCTCATGGGACATGAACGTGAATATTGACATGTCGCGGGGACACATAGTCAACAACGTCAAAGTTCAAATGATGAGACAGACTCCAGGAGAGAAGAATTTGAAGGTACGTTTAACTTAACTTAATTATCTTAATTAATTAAAACAGATTCAAATTACAAATAAATAAGTTCAATAAAATTGAAGTAGTATTATCGATTATGAGACGTGCGTTTTTGGCTTCTATTTCTAGATCTGCGTAGAAGCTCAGAAGAACTATCCAGTCGTCGAGACGGATCCCTTGAAGGTCGATACCACTAAAGAGGAGACCAACAACAAGGTGATCATCACAGCAGGATTCACAGACGATGATAAGTGCGTTCGCGACGATATGATGATCGTGATGACTGTTAAAGGCGAGTTGACGGAAGAACAGAAGAGGCAAATGACGCACAATAACGTGCATGGTGCTTGCGTTAAAGACATCCAAAATCCGCAATTCCAGACTAAGCAGGGACACGTTGCTAAAACCATGAATTGCGTCCGTGAGACTTTACAATACACGACCATGAAGAAGTACACCATTAACGCAACGTACAAAAAGGTAAGAAAAGATAAATACATTATTCGTAACATATTAACAATTTGATATAATTTCAAAATATAAAAATACATAAAGAACACACAAAAGTATGTTAAATACGACCTTCAATTAGTTCTCTAGTTTTACAAACGTCTCTTGAATTTGTTTTATGCATTTTTAAGCATCCCATTGTTTAATCCCATAATTAGATGTAGAAATATCTTTTTTATGTACTTATAAATATTATAGAGACTAGCACAAACGTGGAGAAGACTGAGATATTAATATCACAGATATAAGCAGAGAAGTGTGATTCTTTCAGGTGCCTGTGCAGGTATTATCGCAAATCGCCATGATCGAAGATCATATTCGCGCACGGCATTTGCCACATGTGAGGTACATCGTGGACCGTGTTGAAAGCGGTAACGCGAAGGTCGTAGTCGAGTACTCCTCCGATCTGAGCCACGTCAATGCAACCGTCGTCACTCCGGTCAGCGGATACGAGTACGTTCAAGTTCCTTTGCAGCAACATCTCTTCGAAGGCATGGTCGTAGACAAACCGATGCTACATTCACTGTGGCACGCTGCCATGGATAATACTCGTTTCTCCGTAGCTGTTATGCACAAAATAAAGCACGACCAGGCTAGTAAGTCGTTACTCTCAAATAAATTTCTTTTTTTTACATCATAATACTAATAAATTTTTAGCGTTCAAAATGAGATATCTCTTCATTTATAAATTGTTTATTTATCCATAAAGAAAGCAACAGTTCGAGCAACAGTTTAATTTCATTGAATACCTGTCTTTCACAGAGATCTGCACCGTCTATCCGCAAGTCTTGATCACCCTAGACGAGGGCGTGATTCCATTCGTCATGTCCGATAAATGGGTCCTCGTATCTGGCGATCACATCGATCAGACGTACGCTATTTTCGTGAAGTCCGTGCAAGGTACCAAGCTAGCAATGAAGATGCACGTTGGCGATCACGAGATGGAGATCATGCCAAACGAGTTTAATGCAGTCGTTAACGTTGACGGCAATGTAGTCAATCAGCACGAGAAGGGAGTCGTGGTGCCGAAAGACGAACCGAACTCTTACGCGTTCAAGTGAGTACAACGATTAATCGGTCGCGTATGGAATTTAAAAGAGAATAGTATAGAATTTAAGAGTAGGAGAATTTAAGAATAGAAGAGTATAGACTTTAAGGTGGTTCGATGGCTACAACAAAATTCAGAGAATTTCATGAAATTTTAATATGTTGTTCTGCAATGCAAAATAGAATTATGTGAATTTTTTGGGAATTTTTCACCGTCCCGTTTTGAAAAAAATCTACTCCAAAAACCTAAAAAGTACAATTTTAGGAGTAGATTTATTTCAAAACGGGACGGTGAAAAATTCCCAAAAAATTCACATAATTCTATTTTGCATTCCAGAACAACATATTAAAATTGCATGAAACTGGCTGCATTTTTAACATAGGTTCTTATGGTTTTTATGGGAAATGACATATTGCATATACCTTCAGAATGAAATAAGTGCAAGAAAAAATGCAAATGATAAAGAAAAAGAAATTTGCACATGTAACTTAATAATTTACAAATAAATGAGCGAAAGAAAGGGGAAGGTTACTGCACATTTCGTAGAAAAATTAATTATTAAAGCATAAATTGCTTGATTTTTCGTCTGCATAGACTGTCATGGTCGTGAACGACGTGAACAGCAGCACGCATTATACACACGGCGACCAATCAGAGCAATCCCCTTCATTCCCACTACTTCAAACGCTAGTGCGCTGTTTCCAGAACCCCCGCGTCCCACTACTTCCCCCGATGAAGCCATCGAACCTCCTTAAGAGAAATTGATTGTATTAAAATATAACTTTCGCTTGCAGACTCACCGAGAACAACGAACATCTCATGGTCCAGTCTCAACGAGTGCCGGTGATGGTATGGTGGACCCCCAGCAGCGTAACTCTGATGTTGGACACCACTCTGCAAGGTCACGTGACCGGCGTGTGCGGACACATGGACGGCACGCATAAAGAGAAACTTCCCAAAGTTTATACCGTTGTGTGAATCTTTAATTATATAATATAATTTGAATCTATATAAAATATATTTTTTTTTATGAAAATTAAGAGTACCGAGCACCATTTTGAATAATATAGAATACAATTTTTGTTCAATAACAAAATATAGCACGACGATAGCGTGGGAGTAGAAAGAGAAATATAATACACAAGAAATCTTTATTTTCCATTTATCTGTGTTAATTTAATTATCTCTTCGACCTGCAATCCATAAACGTTATAACATCAAGTTATTACTATCACGTATTTTATTTTTATAGGAGAAAAATTGTCATGACTTAGAAATATTATCAATATACATATACATGATACAATTATGAAAGCTCTTTTAAACTTAGTCAAATCGAAATAAAAAAATGGCAATAAGAGCCAAACGCAGTAAGGCGCGTATATTTTATTGTAAATATAAAATATGCATTATTGATATAAATAATGTATAAATAATATAATAACGTTTTGGTCCTTTTTCGAGACCATCTTCAGCGCAATTAAAAAGTAATTTTAAACATAAATTGCATAAATTAATTTGCAACGCAGTCAAACAGTTAATGAGCAGTTACGAATTCAAAGTATAGCCTCCGATGCCTCACAAGCATCTCTGAGATGTATCACTTCCTATAAATTGATAGGCCAAGAAGAGAACAATTAGCTGAGGCTTCATTACATGTATATTTTCATGCCGGAAACGCTAGAGGTTTAAAAATACTGTAATGAGACGAATGGAACAACACGTGTCAAGTATTGAGAGATATATAAACGGATATCATAATTAAGACAGAAGCAACTTACAAATGAATGCAAAGAAAAGATGCTGAGAATCGCATAAAAGGCAACAATTGATGAACATGATTATAATAAATATACGCAGAAATATATAATGATACACTGGCACCTTTTATTGCTACTTTTTTACCTCGATCATATCTACATAGCTCTAATTTAAGTATCGAAATTTGTCAAATACATATATAAAGTCTTGCTTATCAACATATTTTACACATCAGCAATACTTTATGATTTTTATCAGATGTTTAAGTAAATTATTAATATTATCAATTGTTAATTATTTAAAAACAAACAATTTTTTATATTTTACGTTATATACTATACGATAGCAAGCAAAATGAACTTGCCTCCGTGGCGCAATCGGCTAGCGCGTTCGGCTGTTAACCGAAAGGTTGGTGGTTCGAGCCCACCCGGGGGCGTTAATTTTTTTTACATTTTAATATTATAAATAATGATATTATTCTCTCACGACGTTTTGAGCGATAACCTCGCTTGTAAAACCGAACATCTTATCGAGTAATATGTTGTTAAAATTGGCATTTAAATGACGTTAATATCAAAGTTTTGTAAGATACCAGCGATTCGGTTGTGTATATAATTTGCGAAATAGTAATCACAATCGCGAAAAAATACGATATACGCGTTTATCGTAATGTGATGCAATTATTAAATGTTTATAAATTATTCTCGCACTTGTGTGTGTGTGTGTGTGTGAAGCAGAGAGAAACCTGAGAGCCACACTGGCATTCTGCTAGATACCGTTTTATTGAATTGCTTGATACGTCACTCGTACCCATTTTCAACGAACTATTTGGCATAATCATTTTCTTCTTAAAAATCCAATTGCATATCACACTGCAATTTAAGAAAAGAATTTGCGGTGCCAGTGATATATCGCAAAATCGCTCATCTCTACCTACAATATCAACTTGTAGATTTAACTTGGGTCATAAAGCGAAAAATGACTGCTATATAAGGCAAGCGTATAACATTTATTGTTAAAATGAGACAAATGTATCAACGGGAAAGTAAAAACGGGACGCCGCGGCGCGTTTGAAGTTGCCGCGCGGCGCGCGGGAAACGCGGGAAGCGCCTCCGCCATATTGATGACGTACTCCCTTTCATTTCCAGAGAGCGGCGGACACGGAACGGATCGGCTCCGGAACGAGCGACGTCGCGACTCATTTAATTGGTAAGTATAACACATATTAATCTTGCATGCATTATATTCACTGCGGTATCTATCGCGTAACATAGATTTAGCGCTCGGGTATTGATATTTCTTAAAAATACGTATTCCGCGATACTTGTCCGGCCGAAGGCGCGTCACACGAGCAATCGCGAAAGTGACGATCGTATTTTCCAGTGTCGTGCCGCGAATATCGTGGATATTTGCCAATAATATTAATACGCTATTTGCTAGAATGCAAAAGAACAATCGTAGTAATAAGCGAGTTAGTAATATTTGATTTCTCAAAGTTCGGCAAAGTCATGATCGCGAACTTAAGTTAGGTGCGGAACGCGTAGCGACGCCGCGGCGCTTTCGACGCGTGAAGTTGCGCGCGGAAACGAAGCGGCTCCGCCATTTGGATGACGTATTACGTTCTCCTTTCATTTCCAGAACGCGGCGGACACGGAACGGATCGGCTCCGGAACGAGTGGCGTCGCGAATCATTTAATTGGTAAGTTTAACACATATTGATCTTGCATGTATTATTCACTGTGGTATCTATCGCGTAGTATAGATTCGACGCGTCGCTCGGGTATTAATGATTCTTGAAAATACGTATTTTCCGCGATACACACACACACGTACTTGTTCGGCAGAAGACGCGTCGCCAGGGTAATCGCGAAAGCGATCATATTTTCGAATGTCGCGAATATCGAGGACGCGCCGCGACGCCGCGCCGCGACGCTTTCGGTACAAGAAATTGCCGAACAGGAGACGATGAAGCGCCTTCGTCATATTAATTACGTTCTCCTTTTATTTTCAGAACGCGACGAATACGAGACGGATCGGGTCCGAAACGAGTGGCATCGCAACTTATTTAATTGGTAAGTATACACACATATATATATATATATATGTATGTATATGTATATACATATATATATAAGTATATATATCATATATGTATATTTTTTTAAATATGTGTATATATTATAAAGTGATCTGAAAACGACACTGCGCAAATAAATATTTATTTCCATCAGTAACAATTATTAATAAAAGATTATAGATTATTAAATGCTTATATACCTCGCGATCTGATACATTTGGTTTTTGCTTCCTTAATTTTGGCTTTTCTTTTTTTTCCGTATTGTTATTTCTTCGTGGCACTCACATCTGTTTTCTAAAACAAACAAAATATTTATTAAAGGCGCGCGATTACAAGTAATCATTAGAATACAATGATTGAAAGTATCATACAAGATATGGCAAACCTATAAAAAAATAAAAAATATATATATATGTATATATTGCTTGCTTGCTTACACACCACTTTATGAAATATTTAATTTAGGACGAATATATGGGAAAGAGGTTAAAGAAATACATGCTTAAAATAAAAATAAAAAAATTACTTTTACACGCAAGTTTTATTCGTAATTTCAATACATTTTTAATCAAAGAATAACATCTTAATGATAATGCATTTTTTAGATATCAACTTGTATAAAATTTGATAAGAAAAAATCAAATCCTGATATAATATATACTATTATAAATTTTAATTATTTAGAAATATTTGATATATTAACAAGTAATATTTTATATTTATTTGTTAATATTAGTCATGTCACAAATAATTAGTTAAGTGTATTTAAAAAATCTTAAAATATAATCTAAAATATTTTATTTATTAGATAATGTACTAAATATGTAATATACTGTATATATAGTGTATTGCATGTTTAATTATTTAATAAATAAAATATTTTAGATTATATTAAAAAATTGTTGTGTGTAATAGTAATTCTTTTTAATTCTTTTATTCTTGCGTTGTTTTATTTTTTTACCGTATTTTACGATTTAGAAATAATAATTAAAAAAAATAATTTGAATTTTTATAAACGTTCAGTCTTGTAAAGATCTTTTTCAATAAATGTATAATTATTTTAATAAATATTTAATTTTGAATGATAAATAAGAAGTTTTTGATGCGTGTAAGAATTATTTAATCGTTTATTTATATGTTTTATAAAATAATGACGCGGGAAGTCGCATCGTTGCATCGATGGAATTCAAGCTGACAACCCGAGAGGACAGCCTAGAGGAGGAGGTGGCCTGCGAGAGACATCGGGCGCCAGCGGAACAACTTTGCGGTAAATATTAATTTTTATTTTGTGCAAGAATAATTTTTTTTGTTTATTCTTGAGCCTTTTTATTTTATCATGATTTAGAAATAATAGTTAGAAAAAAGGAGTAATTTAATATTTTATAAAAATTGATTGTCTCTCTTGTAAATATTATTTTCGGAAAATGTGTAATTATTTAAATAAATATTTAATTAAATAATAAGTAAAACGTTTGATGCTATATGAATTGATAGTTTTATAAAACATTGAGTTTTTTTAACACTGTTTTAATATGAATTCTATATTTGTTTGTTACAGAATCAACGTAGCTACGTGGCAGATATCATTCCGCTGTTGCGCATCGGGATTGGTGAGTGATAAATTAACATATCAATTGAGATAATTGATAACTGGATTTTATCCAGTTAAAATAATAATATGACGTAAGATCTAATACACGCATATATTTATTGTTATGAAATAGAAGATTTTTTCTTACAATTAGTTAGTAATCTAAATAATGATTTTACATCCAATTAATTTTATATCAATTAAAAAGTTTTGAATTAATATATTATTATTATATTAATATATTAAAAATAGTTTTAATAATTTACAAAATATAAAAAGATGATATTAATTCTAATTGTGTGGGAAATTTATTATCCCTTTCGGATCTTACGTCATTCATCTGAATTTCTCATCTCTGCACGCTTTTGAGATGAGATTCAGCAACGAATCGTTCGAATCGATGAAAATACGCATATGGGCCTTATATGTAGATTCTATCGAATGTTTAGCAATTTAGTCTAGCAATAGTCTAGCAATTTTTATTCATTTGTTTTTAAATTGAAGTTTTTTTCTTAAATGAACTATATAAAATTTCGTTTAACTATATAAATGACTTCATTCAAGCAAGTTTTATTTATTTAATGTAATATAATCTCATTTCAAGAGTAAATATTCTTGCGTATATACAAGTATGTGTTGATTTGACACTTCTTTTTTTCTGTGTAAATGATTTAATTAATGTGGTGGCCTCTTCGCGACGCGTTCGTGTCTCGCGCATCATATGAAAGCGTAAAATCTTACGCTTATTGGCAATAGCAGCAGGAGTATTTCTCCTTGTTGCCGATCTCTGGCTATATGAAGTCAAAATACGGCCAGATGCTACTAAAATAAAAGTCTATACTCTGGCCAGAAGATTGAAAACGAAGAGGATCGAGGTAGGTTGGTGTACCACTTCAATCAAAGTTTAAAAAATACAGGTAAAGATAAGCCTTTAAGGTCATCTGTATACGTGTGATTGTACACCTAATCAGAGACGGAAAGATGCACACAGAAAAATAATCATTTTACAGCCAAGAAAAGCACTTACTTACTTATATTATTTTACTTTTTTAAAGTAAGTTTTTTTTCAACCAAGAATATTTTCTTACTAATTGTTTTCAAATATCTTGACATAAGTCAAGAATATTGTTTTGAGTAAATGTAATTCTTACAATTATTTTATGGTTGATTTGCGGATATACTAGCTTATGCTAAGCTTTACTTAATCCGCAAATCTGCCATAGAGTCATTGCAAGAATTACATTTACTCGAAACAATATTCTTGACTTGTGTCTAGATATTTAAAAACCATTAGTAGAAAATATTCTTGGTTGAAAGAAAACTTACTTAAAAAAAGTAAAATAAAAGAAGTAAAGTACTTTTCTTGGCTGTACAATGATTATTTTTGTGTGTGTGTCGTCTCGTATTAAATTTCTATTCCGCGAAAATAAAACTCTCAATAAAACTTTTAAATGGTCCTTTTAAATGATTTAAAACCGATTAAAAATCAGATTTAAAATTTGCGAGCGCTTGTCTAATTACGGGTAATCGTGGTCGTAACTATAGGTATACTATAATACGTAGAGATACGGGTAGGTAGAATACGGATAAAAATTAGATGAAAATCAGATAGGTAGGAAAACGAATAAGCAAGAGTACGGGTAGGTAGGTAGAGTGGGGGTGTAATTTTCGAGTTAAAAGAAACTTTATATTATAATTGTAAGGAACTTAAGTAGGTATTAGTAAGCATACGGGTAGATAAGGTAGGGATAACGCGGGAGGGTGTAATTCAACAATGAACAAAAAATAATTTTTTTAATAATTTTAAGAAATATTAATTTATCCATGTAAAACTGTAATAACATAACGCTAAGAATTATATACAAAACGATATATTCTGTCGCGAAAATTGTCAATTGTACAAAATTGTATATAAATAATATAATTATGTAATCTCATGTCATTTATCAATACACTTTTAAGTTGTATTGTTACAAATTATGGACGTTGGAAATGCGTATACTAACCATGTGTTAGTATACGTATTTCCAACGTTTTTGTGTAATCCGGATTTAATAATTAAGATAAATCTTATATATATGCAATGTACACAATTTTTTGTCTTGCACTATGTAATTTTGTATTGTTTTATTGCTTTATTATATATTATATTATATATTATATGTATATATTAGATTTTAGCATATACTAAATTGTATAAAAAAATAAAAAACAAAAAAGGACATAAAAAATTATATTAAAAAAAAGAGGACCGCTGATTGGAATCGGCGGGGGTGGTGGAGGGCTTGAATATAGAAATCGGAGTCGGTGAGTGATGAATTAATATTTATATTGAGGTAATAGATTGTTAAATATACATAGCATGTATCTAGATACATTTATGCAATTTGATAACAATAAAAGGATGCTACATATAAGTACTGTTTCTCAACAGAAAAATTGTGTGTATAGCACGGACACGCACCAAGTGGCGAGACTTTATCGGCAGTGCCAGATGTTATTAAAAATTTCCGCATGAAGTTACGCTAAATTGCCATCGTAGCGCTAACTTCGGCTTCCAGATTATCACAGTCTCCATTTTCCTTTTATCAGGGAGAGCTCCACGCGAGAAGAAAATCGAATATTCCAACCCTAAAGTCACGATTTATTACGTAAGAATCAATTGTTTTATTATAAATACTAACGATTATTATCAATTTTAGCTTAATTATACGTTCAAATTATATAAAGACACTGAATATTGATATTAGATCGGCGAAAAGAAGGGTTCAATTTAACCGGTCGAGATCCACTTTGTTGCTCCACTAACAAATATAAGATAATACATCATTACAAAGTATAGTCATAATTAAGAATACTATAATACATTTGTTATTGTCATTTCTTTCTCTTTTTCCCTTGCTGAGATAAGCATTTTCCAAATATATTTCTCCTTAAAATTTTAGGTTAGGACGATATCATGATTATTAGGAATTAACTAGAATAGTACATCAGATTTCATCATCCTATATTACATAATAATATTTTATGTTTTGTAGGGTAGCATAACATTTGATCATGGCAGCACAGTTTTTCAATCGAATAGGTCAGCTCGGCCTGGGCTTAGCATTGACAGGCGGCGTCGTTAACTCTGCGCTGTACAATGGTGTGATATCTTCTATTCCACGTGACAGTTAGCTACATTGTTTTTTTAAATTAATATATTAATATTTTTTCTAGTTGACGGTGGTCACAGGGCAGTTATATTTGATAGATTTGCGGGTATAAAGAACACCGTGGTAGGAGAAGGGACACACTTCTTCATTCCCTGGGTGCAGAAACCAATTATTTTTGATATCCGTTCACGCCCGAGAAATGTTCCTGTCATTACCGCAAGCAAGGATTTGCAGAATGTAAATATCACTCTTCGTATCCTCTTCAGGCCTGTACCTGATTCATTGCCCAAGATATACACGATACTCGGTGTTGACTATGACGAAAGGGTACTACCATCTATTACCACTGAAGTGTTGAAAGCTGTTGTCGCACAATTTGACGCTGGTGAATTAATTACACAAAGAGAACTTGTATCTCAAACGGTCAACGAAGAGTTAACAGAAAGAGCCTCGCAGTTTGGACTTATTTTGGATGATATTTCTCTTGTAAGTACAATTACATTTATTGATTACATATGCATTGTATTATCACGAGAAAGATACGATGTATTCTTGCAATCAACGCATAGATTATCATTATTTCTCTTAAAATTCTTTCAGACACATTTAACATTTGGTAAAGAGTTTACCCATGCAGTAGAATTGAAACAAGTTGCGCAACAGGACGCGGAAAAGGCCCGTTTCTTGGTAGAAAAAGCTGAACAACAGAAGAAGGCGGCTATTATTAGTGCTGAGGGTGATGCTCAGGCCGCGATTTTACTAGCGAAATCTCTAGCTGAGGCTGGAGATGGTTTGGTCGAGCTCAGAAGAATCGAAGCTGCGGAAGATATCGCTCATAATTTATCCAAGTCCCGTCAAGTGGCATATTTGCCATCAGGTCTGAACGTTTTGCTTAATTTGCCGCAGTAAAATAAATGAATTGTTACATGTTTCTACATGAATTGTGCATTTATATCATGAGCAGTTTGTCGCTATATTAGAGATAAAGAGAGACAAAGTGTAAAAAAGAATATAGCCTATATGATGACAACTTCCCTGAAAGTGCTGTATAGCAGGAATATATAGTATTTTGTAATATTCATTCATCGTTTGATTTATGAATTTGCGCCATTTTATAAATATATTAGTCTTCATATTTTTTAGTTACTAAAAACTCCAATGTTAAATAATATTACTTAACATTGAAGTAATTAACCTTTGAATATTTACAACTTGAAAAATATTTTGAAAATCTGAAAAAAATAGCCGGGATGTTCTATACTTACAGAAATTCTTCTATAAAGCCTTCTATAAAATTATCAATTTATATGATGTTTTTCTTTATACATTTATTTCTTCAATTAATTTAGCTTCGATGGTACGTGACATGTAACGTAAATTTTAACACAATACAATCGTACTTTTATTATATATGAATATTATTCATATCTGATTATTCATTGAATAATCTTATGCAAAAAATTATTTCGTTCGGTTCAATCAGAGCTACCGATTGATGAGGATCTTAGTAAAGGCGACAGTGGTAAGATAGACCGGATATTTATATGCAAGTCGTTTAGTTGAGCCGAAGTATGATTACTGGATTTCAATAATGGCTGGAACGATTAAGTTTTATCTCAATCGACAGGGTCCTATTGCATAAAAAGGTATCTTTGATTTTTCATATACAAAGCAAGTACAATTGAAAGGAAAAAGACAAACCGTCAGTTTATTGTATATACATTCGTACCCTCGTATTGATCTTGAATTTAAATTATTGTTATTTATTAACAAGCCAACCAAATTGAATTTGTTTATTCGGTGATTTAAGCTTATTTCTAGTGCACATCGTGTAAATAATCGTTATTTTGCTATTTTTTTATTCGGCCTTTCTGTTATATGTGATAAAAAGAACTCGAGTTGCGAATCTAATTTTACAAACTCAGAGAGGTGTCGACATGTACTTTTTAAATCCGCGATAACGAAACGTCTCGTATTGGTAGGTGATCCGAGACTCGTTCGTTCCGGACGATCCGTTTGAGCGAACCGTCCGATGGATCGCCATGATCAATCAGGAAGTCGAAATTGGTGGAAGATTATCTCGGTCGGGGTGCTCGCATCTCGCCTCTGTCGGCACAAGCTGTTAATAGAGAAAACAATCCATCATAATTTGGCGATCGTCGCGGGGCGCCTTTACCATGGTGGTCCCCTGTAAAAACGTAAAATATACACGGCGATGTCGGTTGCACTTACACGTGTTTCGGTTACCGGTTATTAATGTCCGGACAGATTTATTATGTGCCTACAACGGGAGCGAATAATTAGTGGCTCGTTTTTTTTTAACCCCGGATATTGTAGGATATTTCGTTTATTATTGTTTTTCAAATTCTTTTCTGATTATGAACAAGACAGAATATTTTATAATAATGTTAATTTATTCAAATATATAAATTATAAAGTTTTGTTAACGCGTGGACATTAAAATTACAGGGAGATCTAGTAATGGTAACTTCGTGCGATATTGATTTAAAAATTTAATCCCATCTCCTCGATTCTCAAAGATACCGAACACTGTATCACGCAGCATGCAACGTTTGCTTCACGGTTGTGCCACACGATAATAATATAATATAATTTCCGCGAAGTTACTACAAATAGAGAGAGGCAAATGAGAGAGAAAGAGGGAGAGGGAGAGAGATAGAAAGGAAGCACCAAGGAGGGTTCGCGGTGGCAGCAGCACGGGGCGAGAGCAGATTAGCGTGAATAATGAAGACACGACCCCGTGAAAGCCTAAGCGGGTCTCCTTAAGTCTGTTCCTTCGAGTAGAAGCCGAAGCTGGAAAGGGAGGATGCTGAGGGAGGACGGGAGGGAGGTGGAGCGGACAGAAAGGAGGTAGAAGCAGTTAATTACTCCTCCCATCCACGGGATAACGACTTCCCCTTATTTGTCGAGAGGCGCAAACAGCCAACCCTCTGCAAAATCCCTCGCCAAGACGCTTTCTCCAGTGTATACGCGTACATTTGACTTCATATACACGTATATACGTGTATCACGCCATGTATATACATGTATATTTGTGCTCGTAGGTAGACAGGACCAAGGACTACCCGGTCCATCTCGAAGTACCCATTTCGTACATATCCTCGATTGATCGGTCAGATTTTCGCGAGGGGATAAGCACCGTCTCGTTAAATCGAAATGCAAACCTTGGCCCCAAGATCAGTCGAATTTAAGACAGTAATAAGATGATCGAAATAATCGAGACGTTTTGACCTGAGAAATCTACGAGATTTAATATCTAAAAGACGTAATAACAAAATGATTAATTGATTACTTAGAATAATATTTGGAAGTAATGATAATTAAGAAGAAATGATAATTAATTTAATCCGTTATCTATGCGAATTTCTCGAGTCGAACATTCCGAGCGAGATACACATTTATTTCAATATTCTTCCGTGCAGATTTATCTTCAAGCGATATATACTCTCGTTTAAATTCGTTATATGGATGATACGACGTAAGATCGTCGTTAACCACCGCCGTTGTCCCCTCGCTGAGTCGAAGGGCCATCGACAGCTACGGAGTGATGCGGTATAACACATGTTACGGATCGAGCCACGAAACATGCAACGAAACAAATGTTAGGTACGCCCGAATACACGTACGGGATGCGAAAGGAACGAGAGAAAGGGAGAAAGAGAGAGAAAGAGAGACTAATTACGAAAGAAATCATAATAGAGGCACACATGCACCGCGGGCTGCCGGGCTAACGATCGGGCTTCCTCCGCCGCATCTGCACCTGTTACTCAGATCCTATGGTCGCGCCGATGCACGCGAACTGCATATGCCGATGGCCTTCCTCAGAGACAAAATGCCTAAGGCTCGCCTCTCATCGGAGTCCCCATAGATCCCGGCTCGAGAAGGGTAAAATTACGTCCTCTAGAAATTCATTCCAACAAATTTTCTACGTCTTAACGATCCGCAGAAGAAAGGAAATATATAGAAAAGAGGAACAGAAAGAAATTGACAGAAATTTATTTCGCGAAATTAAATTCTCAATCTTCCAAATCAATGCCGAGTTCTAAAATATTCGGCTTCCATTCATTATTCTAAATAAATCCTCTTCTTCTCTCTCTTTCTTTTTACCTGTAATTAATATAAATTCTCAACTTCAACGTTATAGCTGCACATAAACACGAAAGGTATATAATCGCCCACGACACGTACGGCGACGCTCGAGTCAGAGACCCGAGTCAGCACCGGCGTAAGTTACCGGCGCGACTAGTTATTAGACGCGACTAGCTACATCATCGATATTAATGATACGAGCGGCGGGCTATAAAATTTCCATCGATTAGGTCCGCCGGGTCGCAAACCGCGCCGGCGGCTCGGCTCGCGAGCGGGCGAGCGCGCTCCCCATCTCGAGTTCGTAATCGTAATTAACATCTCGACCGTTCCGTTTTACTCCGCTTACAGAGAGAAAGGGAAGTATCGTCGAGCTTGAAAAGTCGCTCACGCACGACGAGTCAGCGTAATAACGGCCGCTTTGAACTGACCACGATCACGAGGAACCAGGGGATAAATGCGAGAGCGCGCGCGGGCGACCCCGGGGTCCGCCGCTGCTCGTTACAGAAATCTCGTTAATTAAGGCGGAAAATGTGCGCGAACGAAAACTGCCGCCGGTCCCACCGCGTTGTGCCTAAAGGTAACGAGAAACGATCTTTTTGTCTTGATACGGTCCACGGGGCATGCGGACCGTAGCCCCGCGCTGGTCCGCCCTTCCTGGTCGTCGTTGCATTAACAGTCGACGATGAAATTGGATGAACCGCGATTTTAAACACTCGCGCTGACCGCCGCCGTCGTTTCGGCTCTTTTCATCCCGCCGACGAGTCGTGCGTATGATTACGTACTTTGTTCGCGATTCTCGGCTAATCAACGACGGATATTTACGTTCGCGAGTTCCATCGGACTGCGTTTTTCATTACGGCTTTATGGTGAAACGTGCGGCAAAGTACAAATATCGTTATTATTAGAAATGAAATTTCGATAGGCAATTGGATCGAATAAGCATAAAATATTTTCGAGCGGCGTCTCGCTCTTAAAATTGGTCGTCGCGATTTTTTCTGAGCGATTTCAGCGTTTCCAGCAAGTTGTTTCGAAGTTGTTTCGCTCGTGTCGAAGATTGGCGTGCTTCTAAGATAAACTACGTACAAACAGTTTAACATCTTCTCTACAGCCTCTTCAAGTTTGTCAAGAATAATAAAAGCTAGCCGTTGCGAAAATTGATTGCAATCGCAACTGCAGCGTCTGTTCGTTAACACTCCGGTTGCACGCGAGCGATAATTTGAAATTAGAACGCCCTTCTAAGTACTTTTCTGATGTAAAAATTTCCCTCTCCGGGCCCGAGGCAAGGCCCGGCTGTGGCAATCTTCGCCAACGGATGGCCGGGGTGTGAAGATATTACCCTCTAAAGGTGTTTTAACCCGTCAGAACAAACGCGGCCGTTCGCCTCCTGCAGTCGCAATTTCGAGAACACTGAGTCAGATTTTTCCTTTTGTTCGCTTCCTCTCCTTCCCCTTCGCCTTCACTCGAAACCTCGCACGCGAGGAATAATTTTCAATAAATGCGCCGCGCGATTTCATCCCGACGAACAGTCTCTTATGATGCGATTAGACTGGTTGTGAGACTGGTATGATACTGACGCACGGAAAAAATAAGCTTCAACCTTTTCTTTGCGAGATACAAAAGTTTTATATTCTTTCTCTATGCAAATTTCTTAGCCAATGCTAAAAATATGCCATTCCTATAGGTTGCCACTGCTTCTACTCAATATGTCGTTAATTTAATTAAAACATTGGAGTTAAAATAATACTGTATTGTGTAAAAATAATCAATTTCAACACACGTGGTAGTTAAAAATAACAAAATGTTATTTTATTCAAGGTATTGGTTTAAATTTTGTCCTTTAATATTTAACAGTGTAAAGGTACACCTTAATTGAGTCCTGCAGTCCAAGAAACCTCTCTCTACTCCTATCTGTCTCCAACTCCTTCGACGAAGTCTAGTTGCTTAGATATGTCATACCTACTTGTCGCCAAG